GAGGGGTGGGGAATCGCGCGAGTAACGTGTGGCAGCGTTTTGTATCGGCGCATTAAGTGGCCGGTGTGGGCCACAAGAGCGAGCAACGACGATTTGTAGCGTGTGGCGGCCACCGGCGTACCGTGTGTGGCGAGTACATATAAAATGTATGAAAACTACAAGAAATATGCCGGTGGCGGCGTTTTGTGGTTGTGGTCGGTGGCCCGTGTGCGGCGATACTAAGACATGCGGGCGGCGGGCGCTTGTAATTTTGACAAGCATGTGCCTGTCGCCCGCACCTCTCACGATCCCTGGAGGCCTACTCTATTTCAACGAAAAACGAAATTTCGATCGAAATTACGCACGTTTCCTACTCTGTTTCCTTTTCATTTCGAAAATTCGTTCGTCCGAAATATTTTGACAATTAAATTCTCCAAGTCTACTCTAATTCACAAAACTTTCGAAGGAAAAGTTGAATTTGACAGATAATTGTTCGAAATTTTAACCTCAAATCGACGAAATGAAAAGAGTTACCTTTTCATTTTCGTTTTGAGATTTTTGTTTTAAGTAAGCCTAAAATACTTGCAAGAGTATTTTTAATAATAGCTGCTTAGCTCGAGTAACATTTTTAGCATGTAAAATTAACAAATAAACCATTTTTTTTATTATTTTTTGTAATTTCGATACTTCAAAGTATTAAACGACAAATTGAGGTTGACATACAGTAGATTGTATCGACTCTACAAATTAGTCGGCTAACACTGTCAAAGAAGGTTCTTTTAATGTCATCAAAAAGTTTGCCGTAAACTACCTATATTGTTTCCAAGTAAAAAAAACGTTTTCTTAAAAGTAGAGATAAAAAGAACTCACAAACACGACTCATTCCATTCGTTCACGAAAACTGTTTATGGTTCCGAAGTTAATGTGCCTGTTCGAAAATGAAATAGAGTAGAGACAATGGCGAAATTTCGTTTGAAATTCGTTCGTTACCGAAATTTCCTTTCGGAGAAAGAGAGCAGAGCTCCTGGTTTCGTTTTACCCCTACACCCTTTACCCCGCAGGCGAGGACTCAGTTAAGCGGTCTACCTATAGCGTGCAAAACGATGGCGTAGTTTTGCGGCATCCGAACATGCAATGTGGTAGATACCTATATAGCATTGAGAAGTCATCGTGTGTTATGTTGATTGATAAATAAACCTTTTATATATTAAAGTGAAACTGTTATAAGGTACATCGCCACAATTTTTTTCGTCTTTTAGCATGTCGCATTTTATTATTTAAAATTGTTATTTTAAAAAATTAGGCCTTATATCATTAAGAATCGGTGGGTCAGTCATAGAAAGCCTGCCTGCCATGCGGACGATCCGGGTTCGGTTCCCGGTCATGGAAGTCTTTTTTTACTTTTAATAATAAGCCTACAAACACTTTAAAAGTTTCATAAAACCAAACCATTCTTATTATAAAACTTATCTAGAAATATACAGAAATACTTTGATTGGCTCCGGATATAAAAATATCGTATTAAGTAAACCGTTCACTGAGCTCACTATTCACAAGATCAAAGTCAACAAGAAAAGGAAAGTATGAAAAAATAATGCTTGCAAAAAATATTTTCCTATCTCGTGGGAGTTTGCACACCTGCCGTTGCCGTACCTATTAGAAGACTCTGCATGTCTTAATAATCTCATGGTCATATAACTTGACTCTTTATTGAACGACTAGATAGCCCAGCGAACTTCGTACCGCCATAAAAATAGGGGCAGTAGAGAAAATTTAGGGTAGTTAGTATTTTTTAATACCACATTACAAAAAAAAAAAAAAATTCCAAACAAAAATTTAGGGGTGTATAACGTAGTGTTTTTTAACATTCCTTTTACACTGAGTGTATATATTCTGTGACACTGCGTTACAATATCCAATAGTTTGAATTTTGGCGCGAAGGCGCGTTTGTAAGTTTCAGAACACTACGTTACAGGTGGACAACCATTATCAGTTAAGGATATGAAAAATAGATAGTAGCCGATTCTCAGACCCACGGAATATGCATATAAAATTTCATAAAAATCGGTCAGACCGTTTCGGAGGAGTATGGTAACTAACATTGTGACACGAGAATTTTATATACAGGGTGAAATTGAATGTTTCTATGAAACTTCGTGAGATTGTTGGGTTACGTGTATAGAGTATGCCTGATTTTTTTCGGATTTTTTTGAAGTGTATTTTTTTCATATATTTATTTATAATTTGTGTATTTTTATGTCCTTTCCTCCTTTTGAGTAGTTATTCATTTTAAACAAACAAACTTACATATCCAGTGAAAAACAACTAATAAATAAGCACAACCAAAATTAAAAAAACCAAAAAAAATATTTTTAAAAATCCGAAAAAATCAGGCATCTATACACGTAACCCAACAATCTCACGAAATTTCATAGAAACATTCAATTTCACCCTATACAGAGTGTTACAAAAATACAAATAAAGCTTGAAGGGCGTTGAAGTACATCATATAACGAGTCTTCTCTAATTTTCTTAAAATATTTGCATGAAGCTTTAACTTTTTATAAAAACAGTTATTTTTAATGATCCTCGAACTAGTGACGTGTCTTAAAATGATCGATATTTTTATTTATCATGAAAAAAAACTGTTTTTAAAAAAAGTTTAAATTTCATGCAAATATTTTAAGAAAATTAGAGAACACTCCTTATATGATGTACTTCAACGCCCTACAAGCTTTGTTTGTATTTTTGTAACACCCTGTATAAGATTAACCAGTATTCTTTAGCTTTGACCGCTTCCATGTTTATGTTTTAACCACCAACGGAAAAGAAAGATGTTATAAGTTTGACGTGTGTGTAAGTCTGAGGCAGGGCTTCTTTACCAGCGGCAGGGCTTCGTTACCGGTTATTTTTCAAACCTAAATCAGTATTAAGTACATTAGGAGCGTTTTATTAAGGTTTGGTTCTAACTAAACCTTTAAAAAACCAGTTTTCCTAAAAAGCGAAATCAAATAGGTTTTGAATCAATTTAGCGGTTTTTAAAGGGTTTCATTTCGCTCTTACTGACGGCTGAAATAAATACACAACTGCAAAATGAATAATTTGACTCACTAGATGCTAGCAAACGTGTCAATAAATGCATCAATCTCTGAGCATTAACAAGTTGTGACTTGATTAGTTCAAACAGAACAAACTTCAAGCGATGCCGACGCGTGCACGTGTCGCTCTGGATTAAACCGGTTTATTAAGGTTTTAGGTACCGCTTTCATTTTGTACGCGCTCCGAACGAAACCTTTACTAAAAACCGGTATTAACCTTTATTTACCGGTATTTTCGAAACCGGTTACAAGCCCTGGTCTGAGGCATTTTTGGCAGCTCATTAACGTATTGCATCGTCAAAGTTTCTATGAAAACAGTACCCTTAGCACAAACCAATATCGTATTCGAATAGTTAAATAAATAAATATTTCCATCTCACACCAATTAGCCTAGCCCCAAAGTAAGCACTGTAACGCTTGTGTTATGGGATACTAGGGTAACGGATAGAATACATATACTGTTCTTATATGATATATTTATATAGAAATACATATTAAACATCCATGACTGGAGTACAAATGCTCGTATTCATCACACAAACATCTGCCCTCACCGAGATTCGAACCTGGGACCTCTCGAGTCTTTACGTATAATTATATTTACTAAAAATAAAAATACTTTGACTATGTTTATTAAAGAGATTTATTAATTAATAATCAAAGGAAGACTTTTTGGAGTAATAAAAACTCATTACCATCTCATTTATTTTATACATGTCCATACAATTTTTGTCGAGAAACCTCATGCGGCAATATTTTGTCGATAGTGATTTCATACCTGTTTGTATTTTAATTTTACACATTAAAATACAAATAGGTGAGAATGGCTCTAAACATGAGCCATGACAATGATCACCAATGGATATTTAGGCGCTTTGCAGACGACGGGGCGGAGCGGGCCGGTCATTTTCGCCGCGAACGATAGCACAAAGTGAATCCTATACTACAAACGCACACAGAAGGCAAAAAGACCGCGCCGCCGGTGCCCGGCGGGCACTGGCGGCGCGGCATGTCCGCGGCTGCTCGCCGTGGATCATACAAACCAGTTTATATGCAGTAACGCAGACGGCGGCGCGGGGCGGCTAGCTCAGTCCGCGCCACGCGCTTTTTAGTGATGGACTATTCACTAGAACGAACGTCCGGAACTGACTGCCTCTGCCCATCGTGTGCTTTGGGTACGCGGCGAGGGCAGCCGCAGACATCGACGGGCAGACGTGGTTTTTATTGCTTCGCGGACAAAAAGCCCGCCCCGCCCCGTCGTCTGCAAAGCGCCTTATGATGTTAGTGCGGTAAGTTGGTAATTACAAACGAGTACGTCTCGGGCTTACCATAGTCACGTGTTTGTAAATACCAATTCCATACGAATGTCAAACAATACAACGCTCTGTTGTATGACCCGTAATTTAGAACTTTCGAAAAATGTATACAACCTCCAAAAATGCTCCAAATTTGTACTCCAGTCATGGACGTTTAATATGTATTTCTATATAAATATACTTATATATGTACAGTATATGTATTCTATCCGTTACCCTAGTATCCCATAACACAAGCCTTACAGTGCTTAGCTTGGGGCTAGTCTAATTGAAAAAAAAAATCATTTTTGCGCAAATGTTTTGAAAAAAATGTAATTGTCTCAAACTTAACCTAACCTTTTATACCCGCCATACACACTACGAGAAATCGTTACGATCAGACTGTACAGTTCGAACGGTACAGTTTATACGATTTCGTTTATTATAGGAAACTGTGCAGTTTTATAACATACACCCTACGATTTATCGGTACCGTTCGGACTGTAAAGTCTAATCGTGACGATTTATCGTAGTGTGTATGGCGGGTATTAGGTTTTCAATTGTACATTTTAGAGGTCTGTTGCTATTTTTGCATGATGATTCAGGATTTTTTCGTTTTATATTTCAGCATACTTCACATTCGAGTCTGACACTAAACCGACCCTGAGGGGCGGCCCCCTCATCGGGGAGTACATATTTGAGCAGATGCACTTCCACTGGTCTGTGGACGACTTCACGGGGTGCGAACACGTATTGGATGGTCACGGGTGAGTTTATCAATTCCAGATTAATAAGCTTTTCACTAAAAAGTTTGATGGCGCAAGTTGGTCTGCGATTGTGAAAGTTAAGCAACTTTCGCAGTGGTCAGTCATTGGATGGGTGACCAAAAATTTACTATCACGAGCTCCTCTGTGCTTCGGAAGGCACGTTGAGCAGTTGGTCCCTGCGCACTGGGCCCGCGTGGTGGCCAGGGTATTTCGTTCATACGGAAGGCCTGTGCCCCAGCGGTGAGGATATTAATAATCTGATGATGATGTATAATTCAGTGTGTAAAAGACAGACGATATCAGTATAAGAACGTTGTTATAAAAGAAATAAATTTTGTACGTTGTGTTTTACTTTATGTTGTATGTATTTATGCATTGTATGTGTATTAGAGATGGGCCGACCGTCGGGAAACACGACTATTCGGCATCGTTTATAGTCGGCGACTATTTGGCAAAACATGCCGATTATAATCGGCACTTAACCAATGAAATAAAACTCAAAACTTATGCTTGTTTTGAATATTTCAACAGTACCTAGAGTATATATTTAAAGTAACTTACAGTTTTAAAATAATAAAAGAATTAGGAACTTTAAAATCTGTCAGTAATTCAGATAACTTAACACAATGAATATCGCACATAACAAAATAACAGTGGGAAGTAAGTACGTATTAATGAGTGAAATCTTAAGTGCTAGCGAGTCTTAAAGAAATCCATTAAATTTTGTATTCCTTAGAGGCAAAATTGTGATTTTGGAACATGAATATTTCGGCTCGTTTTGGGAGACTCGTGTCGTCAGTGAGCAAGCCGAGTCGTGACGAAATATTCAGAACATCTTCCTAATATATTAGAACTAGCAAACCAGTGAACCAAATGTTCACCAAAACCTGATTTAATAAAAAAAATGTATTTAATTAATTGAGAACTTCGGAGATTTTGTGTGGTTTCGTTTGAAATTCGTAATTTCTCGAAAACCGGAAGTGCTACGTTACTCAAATCCGGTTTGTAGTCTTGTCAGACTATTTTTAACTTATAACTTAAATATTCTCTTTATCTATCTCTTACGGTTTGGACGCTGAAACAGCACCACAGACAGAGAGACGGACGGACTTGTCTAATAGATAAGAGATGCTCGGCATTGCAGAATAGTCGGCCGACTAGTCGGCAATTTGAAAACCGATTAGTCGGCTAGTCGCTTATTCGGCAAGTAGTATAGTCGGCCCCATCTCTAATGTGTATATGATGTGATGTTAACGATAAAAACCTTTTTTTTTCTTTAGTCCAATGCAAATCGTCAGTTACTTATTTAAACTTTCATAAATGTTAATTATAAAAAACTCAGAGACGGCAATTAAATGGAAGCTGTGTCTCTTGGCGATAACGATAAAATGAGATAGGGTGTGACTTAATGAGGTATTTACTTTAACTATCGTCTATGAATGCGACCTCTTGTCCCTCTAATAATGTCTAATTTGCGTGCAGACGACTTATGAAGTAATCAGTGGCGGCGCTCGCAAAAAATTTTTACAAGGTACCTATTTATTTTCGTTTCTCCTGGCCTGGCTTAGGTAGCCGACCCCGAACAATTCGGGGAAAAAGCTAAGCAGATGATAATGACTTTTATTATTTTCGAACACGGATCGTGCGTGCGTGATGGAAGCCAGTAGTAGCTTTACGGGTATTCAGAATCGTCTGTCTGGCAACACTATTTTTGTAATTAAATTTCTATGTTTGTAATTATTTTTTGTCATCATTTGATTATCAACAATAAAACTCGTTTACTCATGCGTTATTTTATAATTTGGCTCACTTAATTTAACGGTTTTTTACTGCGAAGTAAAATAGGCCTCGCGAACTTGATGTCGCCGACATCCACATGTGGTCTAGCGCCGCCACTGGAAGTAATTAATCGCATTATTTAAATTAATGTCTCATAGGGCTATCAAAGAAACATGGAACTGTAAACCGGAGACCTTGAGAGACGTTCAAGAAAACGCATTGACTATGTGAATCTTAAGTGAATTTAAAGAAAAGTTTTACTAGAAAAAAATCCACGCGGACCAGGCAGCGGACGGGACTCAAACCTTCGCCCTTCGCAATCCGGGCGAATGCACTGACCATTATTACTGACCCGGATTGCGAAGGGTGCGGGTTCGAGTCCCGTCCGCTGCCTGGTCCGCGTGGATTTTTTTCTAGTAAAACTTTTCTTTAGATTCAAACATCTATCAGTTAAATGCTTACAAAATAAAATAAAAACATGTTTGTTTCAGTTATGCAGCGGAATGTCATTTCGTCCACTACAACAGTAAATACAACAGTCTAGAAGAAGCGGTGACCCATCCAGATGGCCTGGCGGTAGTAGGGTTCCTGCTGGAAGCTGTGAACGCACCTAACCCCATGTTTGACAAGCTCATCGAAGGTTTAGAAGGGATCAAGAACATGCAGCAGGCTGTTATTGTGCCTTCAGGTAAATATTAATATAATCAAACAAGTGCATCGTTTAAATAATTACCTAACTCAAAACTGTTTCAGTTTTTTTTTTGAAGTTATACTTCTTTAGGCGCGTTATAAAAAAATTATGAGAGTGAAATTTTAAGATGCGCGCGCATCTGTAACACAAAAAATTAACACCATGAAGTTGGTCGCTTTAGCGACCAACTTCATGTGCCGGTGCCGCGCTGCCATTACCGCGTCGCCCGCCGCGCCGTACGCATGCGCGGCCACTCGCGGTCCTAGCGCGGGAAACACGTACAACAAACATCGGGAAAAGTTACGAGTTATGAATTTAGAACAGAGACTGTTTTCATATCTTGAAAAAAATGAAATCCGTTGTCACGACATAACATGAAAACGGCTTGACCGATTTGGCTGTTTTTTTTTGTAGTTTTCTAATACTCTGTACAAGGTTCTTACGGAAAAAAATATAAAGAAAATCCCAAGGGGATAAAATAAGGAATGAAAGTTTGTATGAAACTTTATCAATTTTAAACCGATCGGGCTGAGACTTTGCATGCAGGTATAAGAAGAATCATAGATGAATGTCATTGTGTATAATACAAGCCTGAGAACAAATCCACATGTTTCTAGTTTGTATATTCGGAATCGTGTTTGAGTTTCATACAAGTGCAAATCACATATGTTCTAATAAATTATATTCAGTAGCGATTTTAATTGAATATTTTGATTATTTATTTATTTTTTCAAATTAAAACTGAACTTTATTGACTGTGTCCTTTTCCAGACTTTTTATTAATTTATTGTAATTAATTATTTGCATGCAATTAAAAACTAATTTTAAACGATGCCAAAGAAGGATAACTTCTCACGCGCCTACATAAGTACACGCACCCATTTTTTATTAACTAGCTTTTGCCAGCGGCTTCGTTCGCATTAACGTTGATTTTCTGAACCAAGTTTGAAGCAAATCTGACGGCGCAAACAAAAGCTTCATTCAAAAATTACCGTTACCTAACAGGAAAAAGGTAGCTTATAACCGTCTCCATGGTACCATCTATCTGCACATTAAAAATTATGTTAATCAATCCAGTAGTGTAGGCGGGAAAGTGTTAGGATTTGTTTGAGAGCTTCGATCGACGTATTAAATTATGCCAAATCAATAATAACTTAAGCGATCTCTAAAGACAACTCAGCTAACATAACTGAGATGGCTCAGAACATGGTAACGCATTATCACTATTTTGCTATTAATAATTTTTATTTTTATAAAGCATGTAACTGCTTGATGTTTAAATCTTCTTGAGATTTAAACATCAAGCAGTTACATGCTTTAAAAAAATTATAACTATAATTGCTATTTCTTCTTTCAAATGTTTAATACTTGTAAAAATATTCATTTGACATTGTGGGTTACCTATAATGCGAAGTGCTGCCTTGCAGCTTAAGAATGGCTAGAGGAATTTCGACGCGGTCCGTGAGGGCCGTGGTAGCATAATGGGTCAGTGCATTCGTCCGGATTGCGAAGGGTACGGGTTCGAGTCCCGTCTGCTGCCTGGTCCGCATGGAATTGTTTCTAGTTATATTTTCTTTATTTTGCTATTATAAGTGATTTAACGTAAAATACGCAGTTATAGTAGAAAGTTGCGAGAGTGAGACTAGTCCGAGAGCCGGCTATATAAAAGTCCTAAGGATCAGATACATATATGAATAATTTTTGGGGTATGAACAATAAAGCTATAGGTCTAAAGGTCGAAACCACTGAAGTTGCTGCCCCCATGCAAAATTATGACGTCACTTTCGGTTTTTATTTTAGGCTTAATTGTAATATATGAAATACACAAAGAAAATGTATGTCAAACGAAAGTTTTTGATGAGTAGAATAGAAATGTCAAGGGTCGACAAGCTCTATTTATTCGTTACCCTGAGTCGACTATCATTAAAAATATATATTTTTAATTTATCTGAATTCATCGAATACATGGATTTGTTTACGATTTTCTGAAACTAGAACCTCTCAAATGACTGAAAAAAATTGGTCGACAGCTTTAATTTGCCCGAATTTGACTGTCAACTTACTTTGAAGAATTAAAGAGCCTATGCTTATATATTTTATCTCTATGTATGTTTAATTATTTAATTATCTGCATATATATTTCAAATACATTGATATTTTTTTCCAATTAATTCTTTGACTCTAACATTACTAAAAAAAATTGGTCGACACTTTTTATTTACCCACATCCAACTATCGACTTTGTTTAAAAAAATCAATGTTACATGATCCATAGGACTTCTATACAGCCGGCTCTCCGACTATAAGTACTTCAATAGTAGTGAAAGACCAAATAATCCAAAAAAAAAAAGAATTTGAACAGTAGAACAAAATGGTATAATATATGGTATAATGTATGGATAGATACATAAATTCTATATAGCACACACTCAAAAGAATACAAAAAAAGGAAACAATAACATTATGTGGGCAAAGGCGGCCTTAACGCTTTAAGCGACTCTCTTCCAGACAACCTTTGCGGTAAAGGATAGCTAAACTAAAGCTAAGCTAAAGAGGAAGTTGTAGTATGCCAGCAAGATAAAGCAATGAAATATATATATAATATATATTAAGCATTTAAATGCTAGATGTTTAAATCTAAAGATATAATATTATCTAGGTATAATATTGTCGAGATTTAATATCGTCTACGAAAACTATGATATAATTATGTTTTTATCTCAATGCATATACTCCACCACTGATATTAATAAGCTTAATATATAAAAGAAGCAACTGACTGACATACTGACATTTGAACGCACAAAAGTGCATTTCGTAAGATATTGTTTCCTGAATCACTAAGTCCACGCGGACTAAGTCGCGTGAAAAAACTAGTTAAAAATAAGTGTTCCTTTAAAATATACAGAAGTATTGAACAATACTTGAAACTTTTTAGCAGAAAAGGTTTCAATTCTATGTCAATATCACCTCAGTGTCTATTCTTAGGGAACACAATCGTTAAAGCACAAACTTAATCTTGTGCGAGCTTAGAGTGGGATAAACAATTAAGGGTCCCTTCTGCGCTGAATCCAAACCGCGAGTAAATAGGCTTAAGGGTGATTCCCACAAATTGTACAACAAATTCAGCAGACATTAATTTTATCTATATTTGTGATACTAAACTTATTCAAACTAAAATTTACGTGATACGAGAAAAGATTTACAATCAGTTCGCAACTGTTGTAAGAAAATTCCCAGAAATTGTACAACATTCAGGAGACATTAATTTTATCCAAATTTGTAATACTAAACTTATTCGAACTAAAATTTACGTGATACGAGAAAAGATTTACAATTAGTTCGCAACTGTTGTTAGAAAATCGGGGGGCACGGCAGTGGACCCGCCGAGTCAAGGCTTGATAAAGTTGCGTACCTTTCAACGGCCAAGTCACACAACATCTCTTATCTATTAGACAAGTCCGTCCGTCTGTCTGTCTGTGGTGCTGTTTCAGCGGCCAAACCGTAAGAGATAGATAAAGAGAATATTTAAGTTATAAGTTAAGAATAGTCTGATAAGACTACAAACCGGATTTGAGTGACGTAGCACTTCCGGTTTTCGAGAAATCACGTATTTCAAACGAAACCACACCAAATCTCCGAAGTTCTCAATTAATTAAATACATTTTTTTTAAAATCAGGTTTTGGTGAACATTTGGTTCACTGGTTTGCTAGTTAACTATAATAATAAAGTAATCGCAGTAAGGAACCTTAAACTTGGCACGACTTTGTCTAGATTTCATTACTTTTAGAGATAAACAAGCAGTTCTTCCATGGAGACTTGGCTAGTTTTTTACAGAATGTTTTTGTGGGGATTTGATATTCTGTTTCTTTAACTTGCCGCTCATCTTAGATATAAACTTGTTGTTTTAATGTTTGTCTTCAAATATTAAGTTTTAGTTTATTCATTATTATATTAAATCAGAAATTCGGATCGTATAATGTCGATGTACTGGCAATCTTTTTCTGATTTCATTCGATACTGATTGCCGCATAGAATTTGTTTTAATAAATCTTGTTTTAGATCACATTAAAGATCATCATCATCATCATCAGCCTCTTAATGTCCCCACTGCTGGGGCACAGGCCTTCCCTATGGATGGAATAGGGAGACTGGGCCATGACCCACCACGCGGGCCCAGTGCGGATTGGCGGGTGCTAACGACTGCAGATGCCTTCCGAAGCACGGAGGAACTCGAGATAGAAATTTTTGGTCACCCGTCCAATGACCAACCACTGCGAAAGTTGCTTAACTACAACGATCGCAGCCGAACGCGCTAACCACCTGCGCAATCGAGCTCCTCCACATTAAAGATACGCGCGTTATATTTAAATTTGCCTTTACTGATTGAATTATGGAGTTACAAATGTTAATCATTGTCAATGAATATGATTAACAAATATCTCCTGCCCGGGGATGAATGGCCTCCAAAATCTATACCCACTAACTAGCTTACAGTAGTTCGTAAATGCCTTCGGGCTTTACCTCAATTCATATCACGTGGAGTTCAAACGACCGTAAATACTTCAGGAACACAGCATAGTTCTATTTACACAAGGGATGCCCTTATTTACGTGGTTTTGCTTCAGCCTTTTGAACGCTGAAAGTTTTTCTTTTCTCTCTTATATTAGAAAATTACAATGTTTACTCATAAAATTAATATTGTTAATAAATAAATAATATTGTTAGGTACTAGGGTAATAAATGTATAAAAATCTTATCATGCGTATTTAAACACTGATTCCGTAAAAGTACAGAACATTTATGTTTTTATTTATTTTTAAGCATTTGACTGCTAGATGCTTAAATCTAAAGAAAAGTGCATCTAGCAGTCAAATGCTTAAAAATAAATAAAAACATAACTATAATTGCTATTTCTTCTTTCAAGTGTTTAATACTTGAAAAAGTATTAATTTGACATTGCGGGTTACCTACAATGCGAAGAGATGGCGCTGCCTTGCAACTTAAGGCTAGGAAAATTTCGCCGCGGCCATGAGGGCCGTGGTAGCATAATTGGTCAGTGCATTCGCCCGGTTTGCGAAGGGTGCGGGTTTGAGTCCCGCCCGCTGTCTGGTCCGCGTGGATTTTTTTCTAGTAAAACTTTTCTTTAGATTTGTACAGAACATTTTCTTACTTCTTACCTAATATTATATTTTCGCTAAAACGGCTGAACTGATTAGGATATAATTTGGCATGTAAAGTATAGCTTATCGCCTAGATTGAGATGTAGGACACTATTTATCCCGGATTTTTTTTTAGATATCAGTGAGGTTCTCAAAACAATTACTTTGACACGGCTGAAGTCACGGGTGGAAACAAGTTATGTTAATAACGCGAAAGCTCAAACTATTTAAAACTATGCTACCGCGGCCCTCACGGACCGCGTCGAAATTCCCTCTCCCACACCTGGGTGGTGGGTTTACCTATAATGCGAAGAGATGGCGCTGCCTTGCAGCTTAAGAATAGCTAGAGGGAATTTCGACGGTGGTGGGTTTACCTATAATGCGAAGAGATGGCGCTGCCTTGCAGCTTAAGAATAGCTAGAGGGAATTTCGACGCGGTCCGTGAGGGCCGCGGTAGCATAATTGGTCAGTGCATTCGCCCGGATTGCGAAGGGTGCGGGTTCGAGTCCCGTCTGCTGCCTGGTCCGCGTGGAATTTTTTCTAGTTATATTTTCTTTAGATTTAAACATCAAGCAGTTACATGCTTTAAAAATAATAAAAATTATAACTATTTAAAACTACTTTTTACCTTTTTTCATTATTCCTAACGTTTCGGGTCCTTTACTTCCGTGATCGCAAAACTGAAATTTTGTGAATATTTGAAATTTTTAAACTACCGTTATCACCCAACAATCCGCACTGGGTCCGTTATCACCCAACAATCCGAACTGGGTTCATTATCACCCACCAATCCACGCTGGGTCTATTATCACCCACCAATCCACGCTGGGTCCGTTATCACCCAACAATCCGCACTGGGTCCCTTATCACCCAACAATCCGCACTGGGTCCCTTATCACCCAAAAATCCGCACTGGGTCCATTATCACCCACCAATCCACGCTGGGTCCGTTATCACCCAACAATCCGCACTGGGTCCATTATCACCCACCAATCCACGCTGGGTACGTTATCACCCAACAATCCGCACTGGTTCCATTATCACCTACCAATCCGCACTGGGTCCGTTATCACCCGAAAGCTTAAAACTAAAAACACTTTTTACTTTTTTTATTATTTCTAACGTTTCGGGTCCTTTACCTCCGTGATCGCAAGACTGAAATATTGTGAATATTTGAAATTTTTAAACTACCTTCAAAAATATTCCGTCCGAATAGGATCACTGAGCAAATATTCATAGAAATCCTATGTGTGAGGGAACGCCATCAGATACTAGCAACTAATTTATTCAACTCAGATTAGTAGTCCTTATAATAATAATAATTACAGACGACACGTCGGAACGTTTCAACCGCCATGACCAGGACGATCTATAAACTCCCCACGCCCCGCCATGGTTCAATCGGCCATAGTTCATTCGCACCCTCAGACACTTCCGGTTTTTATTAATTTTAATACAGTGATCAATAAACTTCTTTTAAATTTATAAAAAAACTAGCGGCCCGCCCTCGCTTCGCTTCGGTGTAGAGCTGAAGTGTAGACTACGGTTTTTTTTCTCAGGCTTGTATTATACACAATGAAATTCATCTATGATTCTTCTTATGCCTGCATGCAAAGTCTCAGCCCGGTCGGTTTAAAATTGACAAAGTTTCATACAAACTTTCATTCCCTATTTTATCCCCTTGGGGGAAGAAATGATCATAATCCTTTCTTAGCGGATGCCTAGGTCATAACATCTACCTGCATGCCAAATTTCAGGCCGATCCGTCCAGTGGTTTGGGCTGTGCGTTGATAGATCACTATGTCAGTCAGTCACCTTTGAGTTTTATATAATATATAGAGATATATTTTGATTCTTCGGAAGGCACGTTAAGCCGTTGGTCCCGGCTGCATCTGCAGTCGTTAGCACTCACTAATCCGCACTGCGCCCGCGTGTTGGGTGATGGCCCAATCTCCTTATTCCATCCATAGGGAAGGCCTGTGTCCCAGCAATGGGGACATTAATTATGATGAATAATTTGTACAAAATAAAATTGAACCTAATATATGATTATGATGTTTATCATGCTATCCTATGATAGGATACGAAACGCCAAGTATAATGAAAGAAAGCAATTTGTTTGGAAACGACTGTACCCGAAATAGTGTGCGAGAAAACTAAATAACTCCGCTTACGTGTTCCCTCCCTCTTACAACCTGGGATCCTTTAAAAGAGGCGTGAAGAAGCAACATGCAGGCCGGCAGGGTGAGGATGGCTGGTGTGGCAGGTAGAACTGCTGTATCAGCTATCTTCGCGTCTGGACTTCACCTTCACTTAAGTGATGACCTGATGTTAACATCAGGTGGGGTGGAGTCATTTGTCGGACCTAAGTATCTATATATTAAAAAAAAAACTTTGTTTTCGGTTTTCGTGGCATCTAATAGTCTTTTTTTTATGTATTCCAGCGTCGTTATCATGGATGGACTCTTCAGATCTACAAGAGAGTAACTACGTAACATACAAGGGATCGCTCACCACACCTCCCTACACGGAGTGTGTCACTTGGATAATTTACGAGAAACCGGTCCAGATTGGTTCAGAACAGGTATGACCTTAATGAGAACAAAGCTGAACTTTATCACAGAGTTCAGGTAACTTCTCTACTTATTTATTGAAAAGGAAGCAACATGAGGAACTCTATGGCACAGGTGGTTAGCGCGTTCAGCTGCGATCGTTGAAGTTAAGCAACTTTGTGACCAAAAATCTTCTATCTCGAGTTCCTCCGTGCTTCGGTAGGCACGTTAAGCCGTTGGTCCCGGCTGCATCTACAGTCGTTAGCACCCGCCAATCCGCAATGGGCTGGCGTGGTTGGTCATGGCCCAATCTCCTTATTCCATCCATAGGAAAGGCCTGTGCCCGAGCAGTGGGGACATTAATAGGCTGATGATGATGATAAAGAAACTTGAATTAAACCATGTCAATTCACATTGTCAGATAGATCTGATTGAGCTTCCACTGATTAAATTTAAATCTCAGATCAAAAATACTCTTATGAATTAGGGCTATTATAAAGTTGATGATCATCTAAATGATCGTAATGTATGGACATAGTGTTTCTTATAATTTGTTATTTGATGGGTATTAGTCATTTTTCATAACAGTAATATTGTACCTATCTAATGCCGCTTCCTATATGCTAAATATAATGTTAACTATAAAATTTATTGTAACTATATATTTATATTCTAAACGATGTAGACGGAAGGTGACTTCAGACGTATCTCTGAAGTCATTGTTCAACTTGACGACTCTGTATATAAAATTACTGGGAGAAAAAAGCAGCCCTTGCTGAGTTTCTTGCCGGTTCTTCTCAGTACAAGGTCTCCCGCCGTAGTTTTGCGAACCGATGGCGTAGCTTCTTGACCTTCACAAGTGCTTGTAACAGCCTAGACTGAATAAATGACATTTCTTTAATTATTCCCAGGCCTTCATTGTTGAAATTATTTAGTAAGGACGGAATCATTCATGCGGGTTCTTTAAGGATTATTGTGGTGGGGTTTAACGACTGCAGATGTATCCAGTGACAATGGCATCAAAAATTAAAATGTTTTGTCCCCTTCAGTACCAATGTTTGATGTTCCCTTCTTCATATTTTAATATTATTAGTTCTCTGTCTGAGTTATCACAATTCCACCAATGTGATTGTTCTCCTCGATGGCGCAGGTGGCTAGCGCGTTCGACTGCGATCGTTATAGTTAAGCAACTTTCGCAATGGTCGGTCATTGGATGGGTGACCAAAACTATTCTATCTCGAGTTCCTCCGTGCTTCGGAAGGCACGTTAAGCCGTTGGTCCCGGCTGCATCTGCAGTCGTTAGCACCCGCCAATCCGCACTGGGCCCGCGTGGTGGGTCATGCCCAATCTCTCTATTCTATCCATAGGGAAGACCTGTGCCCCAGCAGTGGGAACATTAATAGGCTGATGATGATGATGATGATTCTAGACATTATTATCAAATGTGTATGATAAAATGTTTGCAAAAAGGTCTGCAGTACAGACTGTCGAAATTAATACCAAGACTAGATTATGGGTAAAACCAATACTGAAAACTATTTGATCACACTTACCGAGTCCCAACTGTAAACTCAAGCTTTGATAGTAAACTTCTCATCCTTAGCTAAGTAACAATCAAACTAGCCCCCTTTGAAGTTCCAAATGCTGTCTATTGGGTCTATAAAGCTGCCCCTCATAAATTGGTGGCCATTTTAACTTAGTTGAGGCACTTTAGTTGATTCTAGTGTTGCCGAACTATCGATATTAAAACTATCGACAGTTTACATCGAAAATCATGTACCCTATTGATAGGTCTATCGATAGAATATCGATACTATCGATAGCTCAGAACAAGGCAATACTATCGAATGAGTGCAATACTATCGATACTACTGTAGTTCGTTAATAACAAACTATTGATTGTATCGATACTATCGATAGTGTTGATTTTATCTGCAACAATACTATCGATACTATCGATACTAGCGATTGTTTTAGACTAAATTTTGTGATTGACTATAATACCTGAAAATTGTAAACAATACTATTTCAAATTGTTAAACTATCGATAGTATGGTTGCAAATAAAATCGACAGTATCGATACTATCGATAGTTTGTTATTAACGAACGATTATAACTATCGATAGTATCGATAGTATTTAACTCATCCGATAGTATTGGCTTTTTCTGTGCTATCGATAGTATCGATACTATTGATAATATCGATACTATCGAGAAGCCGATCGATTGTCATACGATTGGTTGGCTATCGATAGACTATCGACTAATCATCGATAGTCGACTATCGATCGGCAACACTAGTTGATTGTTTTGAACCGTTAAGACAATAACGCACTTCTCGCAAATGCGTCCTGTACTTTTAAAGTTCGTTTCTCAAAATGTCCCTTTCTCAAAATGCACCTTTTACTTAAAGCGGATTTTGCAGAATGCAATTTTGTATTACTTATTAAGTAGTGTTATGAACATAGTAATGTACACTCGCGGAAAGACCCGCTCTGTCACCCATAATGCCATAATCTCTTGCGGTAGCGGCGTAGTAAAAATTCATTCTTGACATGTAATTATCGCTGTCTTACTTATTCGTATAGCGCTGTCGCGATCACGATGCGGATGACAAATTGCAACTAAAACAAATGCAATTCAATTCATTATTCAATCAATGAAATGCTCTCTGTCTTACTTTTGTGCGGCGGCCCGGATTGGCGCGTCCGACGCGAAGGCGGGGCGTAGTAAAAACTACTGTAGATAACCGTTCAAAGCATTTTGTTTGCCAAGTGACAGAGCGTAAAATTCCGCGATAGTACGTGTAAGGAAACTCCTACAGATACCAGCAACTTATTTATTTAACTCCAAATTAATCAATCCTTATAATAATAACTATTAGGGATATTTTACCGCAGTAAAACGTAGCCTGTGTTAATCCAGGGTGTCAGCTAACTCCGTAACAATTTTTATTAAAATCGCTCCAGCCGTTTAGACGTGAAGAAGTAACAAACATACACACACACAAACTTTCGCCTTTATAATATTAGTGTGACAAACAACGTCCGAACACAATGAAAATAAATATTCCTTTCTATTGAGGAGATCAAAGGCGGCTTTCGGCTGCGATCGTTGAAGTTAAGCAACTTTTGCAGTGATCGGTCATTGGATGGGCGACCAAAAATCTTCTATCTCGAGTTCTTCGGTGCTTTGGAAGGCACGTTTAGGTCCGGCTGCATCTGCAGCCGTTAGCACCCGCCAATCTCTATCCATAGGGAAGGCCTGTGTCCCAGCAGTGGGGATATTAATAGGCCTTTGTGTTGGCCACTGTGATATTTCATCATCATCATCATCAGATGATGCTATCACATTCATCTGTCAAAAACAGTTAGCGAATAGGACTGATAGATAAAATTCTTCATTGCTTACTCGTACATACATACAAGATAATATAAATAAAAAAACATTATTTTATCCCTTATATAGTTTGTAATATGTGTTGTTATAGCGGCAACAGAAACATCATCTGTGAAATTATAGATATTAACGGGATTGTTACCATGTACCTTGTTTTTTATGAGTCTCCGATATTACTCCGTGATCATGGCACTTGCAACAGTGAAGAAATATCGAAGACTAATAAAAAACAAGGTACATGGTAACAATCCCGTTAATATCTATAATGTTAGTGACCATGAAAGTTTAAAACAATATATCATCTGTGAAAGTTTCAACTGTTTGCTATGATGGTGCGTGCGATACAGCCTGGTGACAGACAGACAGACAGAGGTATAATGTCTGCTGCCTCTCAATACATTTACAATTGTATATTGTTTGTGCGTCAGAACATATATTTATATACGAGGCGTACATACTTTCAATACCAGAAATAAAGATAAACTCAAATTGCCACCGTTGAGACTCCAAAAGGTTCTTGGTTCATTTGTGGGTCAAGGTGTATGTTACTATAATAAAATACAAAAAAAAAGAAATAATAAATTTACCTTTTAATAAGTTTAAAGTGCGTATAAAAACTTGTCTCCTTAAGAAAGGTTACTATACAGTTAAAGATTTTATAAATGATAAGGCACCTTGGGCTTTATATAATAGACTAAGTCGTTTTACTTTGCTAATTTGGTTGAAAATTGTTAGTTATAATTAACATATTGTTAATTAATAATATTAATGTGATGAAATATGACATCAACACATGTTTTTAGTTTTTGATGTCATCTTTCAATTGACGACATTGTATGAAACAAAACAGGGAGAAAAAAATAGCCCTTGCCGAGTTTCTTGCCGGTTCTTTTCAGTACAAGGTCTCCCGCCGAAGATTTACGAACCGATGGCGTAGCGTTTGACTTTCACAAGATCTTGTAACAGCCTAGACTGAATAAATGAGTTTGAGTTTGAGACAACGAAATTAATAGGGTCCCAGTTTTCCTTTTGGGTACTTGTTCGTTCCCGGTTTTACGATTACCCCTGTACGAGTCACGTACAGTAATCTTGTATATCTGCGAAGCAAGCATAACCTACTTTAATCACTAAGCTGTATCTGAGAAATGCATCATAATACTTGATTGTATTAACTATATAAAAACATATCTTTGCATTATAAATCAATGCTCGTCATGCATTCCACAAGATCAGTTGTCTTTCTTCCTTTATCCTAATATCATTATGTAGGGGGTCACCCCTACAGTTTGGTCCTTCGAGCCGGATTGTATATCGAATTCTCGTCATGCATTCAGCAGTAACAGTTGTATTCCTTCCTTCATCCTAATATTATTAGGTAGGGGGTCACCCCTACAACCCCTAAAAACCATAAAACAATATTCGGCCTACTGATCGTCTCGAATTGTTCGCAGTTGGGCCTGCTGAGAGAGCTTCAGGGTCCCGACCAGAAGCCGATCGAGAGGAACGTGAGGCCGACCCAGCGACATCCCCCGGGACACTCCGTCATCTACGTGAAACAAGTCAAAGCCAAACTATGACGATTTTTAGCAATATATTTGTATAAACCACTTTTGTGTCTTTTCTTTCGACATTTGTATTCCAATTAGATTTTTGACTAGCAAACCAGTGAAACAAATGTTCATCAAAACCTGATTTAAAAAATGGGTGCGTGTACTTATGTAGGCGCGTGAGAAGTTATCCTTCTTTCGCATCGTTTAAAATTAGTTTTTAATTGCATGCAAATAATTAATTACAATAAATTAATAAAAAGTCTGGAAAAGGACACAGAAGACAAAAGGAAACTAGAAACATGTGGATAAATATTATAAACATGAATACCTATAACTGTTACTTTATTACAAAAAATAAAGATGTGGTTTTTGGTTCTACTACACCAATGGTCAAGAGATGGCGCTGTAGTCTCCTGAATCGCGCTTTGGTTCCGTTGTTCCAGATTAATAAATACTTTTGATATAATAAATATGAAAACCTATAACTGTTACTTTATTACAAAAAATAAAGATGTGGTTTTTGGTTCTACTACACCAATGGTCAAGAGATGGCGCTGTAGCCTCCTGAATCGCGCTTTGGTTCCGTTGTTCCAGATTAATAAATACTTTTGATAGACCTTCACAATGCAGTCGTTAGCACCCACTAAATAGAGATTCTATTTCTATTTTTTTGGTAGATTTTCTTAATGTGCGGTAAACACAAAAGTAACAGCATGAAAGTTGGTCGCTGAAGCGACCAACTTTCATGCTGCGGAAATAACATTTTGGCGGAATAACATTTTTTCATAACGCGCCTAAAGAAGTATAACTTCAAAAAAAAATGTATTTAATTAATTGAGAACTTCGGAGATTTTGTGTGGTTTCGTTTGAAATTCGTGATTTCTCGAAAACCGGAAGTGCTACGTTACTCAAATCCGGTTTGTAGTCTTATCAGACTATCCTTAACTTATAACTTAAATATTCTCTTTATCTATCTCTTACGGTTTGGCCGCTGAAACAGCACCACAGACGGACGGACGGACGGACTTGTCTAATAGATAAGAGATACTATATATAAATTGGCCGCAGTGTTACTTAAAATTTCATAAGGCTTATTTCCCTCGTACCACAACCTTGAATGTGTGTGTGTGAACCTTTTAATTTTTTTATATAAAAGGGATGATGACTAATTTTTTTCTTCTTTGTTTATCAGGTAGATTATCAAAAAGTATTGGACACATATTTTTTCTTTTTACACATAATATAAACATTGCAGATATATTGATTTGAAAAGTCGCATGACGTCACGTTTTGGTACAATTTTCACTTAAAAGTGACGTCACGAGCCCCTACTCCCAAACTTTGACGCGCTATAACTTTGTAATTTTTTTGGTTGATTGCCCATAGAAAAAATACGTGTCCATTATTTTTTGATCATCTAACTGACGGACTAAATAGAATTTCGTTTACTATACCCCGTCATCACCCCTAAAATATCTACACACACCAATTAGCCTAGCCCCAAAGTAAGCACTGTAAGGCTTGTGTTATTGTATACTACTTACCGCCCGCGACTTCGTACGCGTGGAGTTAGTTATTTAGTACAGTCAATGAAGGCAAAAATAAGCTACAACCTCCGATTTCGTTCAACCTTCATCGATTATCATGAAAATTGGTGAGTAGGTGGGGGATACCTTAAGAACTAAAAGTGACATAGTGCCAACTTGCGCTTTTGCTCTGGGGGTAGATGCCACCCCTTCTCGGGGGTGAAAATTATTTTAATAAAAGGAACGCCAGGAATCGATAGAGAGACAAAATCTAAGCAAAAATTGTTATATAAAGTTTTTGGAATAAATCCATATTTTCTGAGTCATTAAAGATCAAACATTGTTATTTTTCGTGATAAAAATAGATGTTTTAATGCGATTTTTCATAAACAACTCAAAAACTATAAGTTTTTACAATAAATGTTTAATTACCCAAATTGAAACTAATTGAAAAAACAAATAAACTTCTACTTTGAATAACATTCTCTTACTTCAAAAACATAAGACTTTCATACAAACTTCCAACCCCTTATTACCCCCTTAGGGGTAGAATTTCGTGATAATATGTAGCCTATATGTTGACCCGACTTCTTAATAATATTCTTACCAAATTTTAAATAAATCCATGCAGTACTTTTTGAGTTTATCCCGGACATGGTTACAGACAAACAGACAAAAATTCTAAAAACTATATTTTTGGCTTCGGTATCGATTATACATCAAACCCCAAGTACTCTTTTTTTAAAAAAAATCAATGTACAGTTTTGACTTTCCTACCATTTTAAGCCTATATGTTGACCCGAGTTCTTAATAATATTCTTACCAAATTTTAAGTAAATCCATGCAGTACTTTTTGAGTTTATCCCGGACATAGTTACAGACAAACAGTCAAAAATTCTAAAAACTATATTTTTGGCTTCGGTATCGATTGTAGATCAAACCCCAAGTATTCTTTTTAAAAAAAAATCAATGTACAGTTTTGGCTTTCCTACCATTTTATATGTATAGACTACATATTATAACCATCCAAGACTTAGTTATAAATGCTCTTCCCATCGGGAGGAGTCGACGCGGTGTCATCACCTTAGATTAAAACAAAAAGGGTAGATACGGTACGCTCATACTTGCATCAAACAAAAACTGATCCCACGGCAGCGCAAACGGGACGGCGAGATCCGCGTGACTGCATTACCGACCCGAACGAAACAGCAAGTTAAGTTTCAACGGCAGCGCGAACGAGACGGCGAGATTCGCGTCACTGCACTACCGACCAATCACGCGACCAGTACTCGACGTCATTACCGAATAAGATTCAAAACAAACAGCAATTTTCATGAAAAAATATATTTTATAGTACTTACGAATGAAAAGTGATGCCGTGGGTTTTATTTTTAGTTCTTGAGCAATTTGAGCAGTTTTTAAAAACACACCTAGGCATTGTTTTGTCATATAAACACAAAATATTAGCAATATTTCTTTTTGGCGTTCAGATGTACGACGTTTGCATGTCAAGTTGTGACTAAAGCGATTAGGGTCGTGGACCACAATTTATGCGGATCACTTTTGTGAGGCTAGTGCCGTATCTACCCTTTTTGTTTTAATCTAAGGTCATCACTGCGCCTCTCCCGACGACATGGCCGAGCACACGCTAATAGAGTGCCCGGCCTGGCGAAACGTGCGCCGCACTCTGGTTGCGGCGCTCAGCAGTGGAGACCTCTCGTTGCCAAGCAAGGTTGGAGCCATGCTTGGTAGCGAGTGGACCTGGAAGGCTGCCGCCTCCTTCTGCGAATCGGTGATGACGCAGAAGGAGGCCGCGGAGAGGGAGCGGGAGAAGGACGCTCTAGCTGCTCCCCTCCAATGTAGACGGGTGGGCCGAAGAAGGCAGGCAGCCGTGACTGCCGGTCTTCGTCAGCCCTAAGGTGGTCTGGGCGCGGCTTGGCCTCCGCGTGCCTTAGGTGCCATTCGGCATAGGCCACCCCGTCTGGGGATTGCCTAGTACCCTATCGCAATCCCCCAGAGGCGTGTCGCCCGGTCCACTAGTTGTACATACCATTCGAGCCATGGAGCTTGTCAAAATTTATAGTTGAATTCACACACCGCAGCCACATCTCAACTACAAACAGCCACCAGCGACACCATGAACTAGCGACCAGTCACATCGCAAATACATAAATTACCAAAAACTTCAGTTCTGTAACTCATTCCGTTTACGATCTAGAGACCCGTGGAATACGGACAGACTAACAGACAGACGATAGAGTGACAGCAATAGTAGGGTTCTGTTTTTACCCTTTGAATACGGAATAGTGTCAAAAGTGAAACTATTCCTATGTATAGTAAACAATGCCATTAATTTTAATAGTACCACAATTAATTTTTAGAAAAAATATTGTTTTAATCTATACTAACATTATAAAGACGAAAGATTTGTATGTAAGTATGTTTGTAACGAATTGGCTCAAAAACTACCGGACCGATTTATAAAAGATAATTCACTGATTAAAATAGGCTATAGTGTATATTTCAAATAAGTTAGGGTTCCGTATAAAAACTTCGATAATGTAACCCAACGTGTGTGAAAAATACCTAAAAATAGCCTTATATCGCGTACGCTGCGGAAGTCATTGACAATAGAGCAAAGTGATGTACTAAAGTTTTTTAAAGGAAACCAATATCTACACAAAAGTCCGCGATATCATGTCTAACTATTAGAGTTATGTCACGACTATAGGCCCCCTGCGATTTCACCCGCGTTAATTTGAAGAAAAAGGTTTATAGTGAGTCAAACTTAAAATATAGACATAGGCTGTCGAGGGCTTTTTTACAGAACTTTTAAAGGGAAAGAATTCCGTCTTACATGATTTTTGTGTAACTTTAACCGTTTACCCAGCGCACGCAACGGAATCTCACAAATGGAATATTTTTACCCGTTTTTGCAACATTTTTCATCGATGCTCCGCTACTACTGGTCATAGCCGGGTAATAATAGCCTTCCTCGATAAATGCACTGTCCAATACAAAAAGATTTTTTCAAATCGGAACAGCAGAGCAATGTTGCATTCGGTACGACGGGTTCTAAACTACGCAACATTTTTTTTACTTGGAATGGAAGGTTTATAATTATTACGAAGAAGGTCATTGTGTATAATACAAGCCTTTGAACAAAAGCTATAGTCTACACTACAGCTCTATTCCGAAGCAAAGCGAGGACGGGCCACTAGTATATATATATATATATGATACCTAAATAATGATAGTGGAATTGGTCACACTAAGTTTTATTACTTCAAAATGAAAATGATCCATTAATACAAAATATTTGACTTGAAGCAAAGATTGCACTGATTGTATGAAAAACAGTACCAAGGTTTTAAATTTGACAAAAGTCAAAATTAATCCATCTATTCAAATCGATACTGCTAAGGACACCAGCACATGTTTCAATTGTTGCAGCAACATGTTCATATGTATACAAATAGAAGAGATTTCGCATCAAACAACGTTTGTCGGGATCTAAATCCACTACTGAATTATTTCTACTTGTGGCCATACTCGATTCCACTGATTCTTGTATAATACCACTCATCTTCAATGCACGTTCATATTCAAAGTCAATTCTGTCTGCCAGATTTCCCAATAACAATTTCATTGCTCGGTATTTTTGCTGCAACACATTTTCGCCTTCATACCAAGGTTTTAAGAGTTCACTATGAGAAACTCTCAGCAATTCATAATATTTCATTCTTTCATCGTACTTTTTTTCCATCATTTTTTGTCTCCATGTTCCAATTGATAAATCCCAGTTGTCATCATTGGTCATTTCTGAATATAGGTTCTTCATTTTCATCACTTCCGTTTGGTGATAGAAACATACGGGATTTTTCATTAAAAACATTTCGGTTTCTAAAAGTAAGTCCTTATATGGATATACATACGGTTCAATAGTCAAGGCTTTATTTAATACATCGTCAAGCAAATGTCTGACTATATTAGTTATGACCTTTTTCCCAATCCTGCCTTTGAGCACGTTCACTTTTCTAGTAACGCTTTCAATGTCTTCAATGGAATCGCCGCTTAAATTAATTATCAACTTGTCGGTTAAAGTATCAAAAAAGCATATATTACAAAAACTTAATTCCCAGCCTTCACTGAATATTCCTGGCTTATCGGAGATAAAAGTAAAGTGCAAAATCTTGCTTTGGCCAGGAGAAATAACATCTTCATTTTTATTGAAAAAGAAAACTTGATTGTAGGTTTCTTCGGATATGAAAGGAATTTTTTTTTTCAATTTCCTCCAACAATATCTGAGAGTGACAGTTCCGAGATTCTCCAAAAATAGTCTAGATCTTCCTGCTTTTTTTAAAGGAACTTTAAAGTAATAAGTCCAGGAAGTACAATTTTCATGCCATTGCTCTTTTCTCGTATTGTCCAATAGTGTCAAAGATTGATCAGGAATATCTTTATAGATTACGGTATTGTTTATTCGGACAGCGTATACTGTAGATATTTGAGATGAAACAGAGTATTCTTTAAAAGTTATCGAAGGTAGGTTCGGCAGCTTTTTCTTAGGGGGTTTTGGTTTAGTTCCACGTACAAGGAGTTCACCAATATCAGGTCTGAAAATTTCAATAAAAGTCAAAAACTTAATGTTCACTGACAAAATACAGCGTAGAAACTTATAATTTTTGGTATAATAAGTTATTATCTGTAATATTAAAAGGCTATATTCTTAATAAATTTGTCACAGCTTTATCAATAATATACATAAAAGGCTTTATTGCTTGCTCATATAGATACGAAATAGTTTAATGTGAATAGTATAATATATTTAACACAGAAGGGGTGTAGTACACTTTCCGACTTCTAGTCTACTTGTAGGGAAGGTAAGTTATCCACCTAAAAAATATTTTATCTGGTGTAGAGTTAATTAAGGATAGTAATATTCTAGGGCTCCGAGGGGGTGATAGATGAATATGTAAAGGGTTGGGTTAAGATCGTTTCTATCGCATCAGCTATTTTCACGACTGAGCTTTACTTACATTCGGTATTTTGTTTCGTCACGATTTAAATGCACAAAAAGTACGTAAGCAAATAAGTTGAAACATAACAACGAAGGCAAAGAATGAACACTGACTTGACTGAATATCTATATTATATAAAACTCAAAGGTGACTGACTGACATAGTGATCTATCAACGCACAGCCCAAACCACAGGACGGATCGGGCTGAAATTTGGCATGCAGGTAGATGTTATGACGTAGGCGTCCGCTAAGAATGAATTTTGATCAATTCTACCACGAAGTGAAGCCAGGGCGGGCCACTAGTTATAAATAATACCGTTCATTAATCATTGAATGAATTTTGAGTAAAACATGAAAACTAATACTTAGAGACTTTTACCTGTTGGATGGGCACAATAAAAAGATTATAGGTTTATTAAATCAATATTTACCTGAAGGGATCAATGTTCAATATTTTTTTACTCAGTTCTCTTTCGCGTTTATCTCTATACTGCGTGTATTCGGCATCAAGTCTGTGATGTGGCTCTCGTTGAGATTCACCAGACAATCCTTTTTCAGTTTCTTGAATATATTTAGGAACACCTATATGTTCTATAATTTGAGGTTTCCCCATTTCAGCTTGAGTTCTCTTAACTTCGTAAACTGGCTTACAGTAGCATGGCTGTTTTAAACTCACAGGCTGTTCCCACAAACCTCCACGAAGAGATGGCTTTGATTCTATCTGAGCATATTCCAGAACTGTTTTTCTCTCTTTGTCCTTTCGAATATTTTCTAAAAGATTCATTGTGAGGTCTACAGGAGGTCTGCCTGTCATCATAGCCAAATGTTTTGTTTCATCGCGACGAATTTGTATCCATTTCTCCCAAGCAAGTAATTCGTGATTAGCTTCTAAAGTGTCTGATACAATAATCGCTTCCTTACCTGTCTTTTTCTTATTCATTTTTTTATGTTCTAGTACACGTTTTACATAAGCTGAGGAAATATATTATGTGTTTCGGATTTATATACCTTATTATTGTGAGCGACTACCAAAGGCAGTATTTGTCAAAACCTGACTGACATCACAACGCTTATAATCTTTTTTCTAACTTTTAGAAAGGATAACTAAGGGTAATCTAAAACGAAATAAACGTTTTAAAATTCTTTTGTCTATTCATTAAACCTCCCCCAAACTAAGGCCGTCGTGATCACGGCACGTCACGATGACGGTTTGCCCGCCCGGTCATATTTGGTTAACAATCATTAATCTGAGGGTTCACACAGGCTCGGTGGCGATCGCAATTTTTTTAAATGCAGTTAAACAAAGATTTAATATAATAAACTATCATCAAAATCTTATCTCATGAGGAGCTCGATGGTGCGGGTGGTTAGCGCGTTCGGCTGCGATCGTTAAAGTTAAGCAACTTTCGCAGTGGTCGGTCATTGGATAGGTGACTAAAAATCTACTATCTCCAGTTCCTCCGTGCTTCGGAAGTCACGTTAAACCGTTGATCCCGGCTACATCTGCAGTCGTTAGCACCCGCCAATGCGCACTGTGCCCGCGTGGTGGGTCATGGCCCAATCTCCCTATTCCATTCATAAGGAAGGCCTGTGCCCCAGTAGTGGGGTTATTAATAGACTGATGATGATGATAATCTTATCAAGTTCAGACAAGTTGGATTTTTTCTAATTAAGGTCTTAAGTCCCCATAGGCACTTCATTTTCGGTTGATAATATCGGATGCGTTATTGCGATAATTAGTCCATAGATTTATTATTATATAGATTGGCAATACAAAAGAGATAGAGATAGTATTTTAGTATGCTAGTGCGACATAGATGTACGAAACGTAGTGAACAAAATAAATATGGTTTTTTATAAGTGAAAAGTGAAGAAATCAAGAGAAAATTTGTGTTAAATGGACTTGTTAATTATGGTTTTGTGTGTAGTACCTAGATGAAACTTACGCAAGAAAGAAAACCCACAGATAAATTCATTTTACAAGTAAGTACGTTAGAATTACAATGTAGATTTAATGCATTTTCTCACAACCGATATAAAAAATATATGTTCAAATTACATGGGAAAAATCTGCTATTTAATAACATTACAAATGACACTTAAAATTTAATCAAATACGAGAATTTTTGATGTTTCTGACCTGGCCTTTATCGTAAATCGTCTTATCGATAATATGTTCAGTTTTACAGGTAATGGTATGGACCATGTACCAATGCTTTTATTTACCTGGAGAACATTGCTGTGAGTGTAGTTTTATTGAATTTGCTTTGTTTTGATGAACCCAATTGGATTCATATAGCGCTAATGCGTCCGCTTATAAATATTTCTAAACTAAAAAAAATATAATTAGAAAAAATTCCACGCGGACCAGGCAGTAGACGGAACTCGTACCCGCACCCTTCGCTATCCGGGCGAATGCACTGACCAATTATGCTACCACGACCCTAATGGCCGTGTCAAGTTTTGTTTAGTATTTCTTAATTTGCATTAATCGCAAGGCATCTTCATCTTACCTGCGTAAGCCATGAAATATTAAATAAAACAAGTTTCAACGGGATGGAATAAAAAAAATCCTATAAAAACAGGAATGCGTTCCTGCATTCAAAATGTAAATTTATAAATTAAAACCAGTGCATCTAGTTTTAATTTATTAATTTACATTTTGCATCGTTTGCAGGAACGCATTCCTGTTTTTATAGGATTTTTTTATTCCATCCGAATAATGCAAAGAAAAAAATCCTGCAAAAGATGGAAAACGTCAATAAATAAATAAAATCAGAGCATCTAACTCGTTGAAACCTAAGAAACAAATACCATGAAAAATAATAATAATAAATCGTTTATTTTCTCATCACAAACATTTTGGCATCGATAACAATTTTTTAAATTGTTCATTACATTAATGTTTGTGTGAGACTGATGCTCGTGCTAGGTACGATATACCTGTGTTACAGGTCATCAGGCTCCCACCACCTCGAATAGCCAATGTTGGTTAACAAATAACATGAGTATGAATATAAAAACAAAGTTTACTAATTTTAATTGACACAGGTTAAACAAAGGGTGTATTTGTATGAAATTCTATGCAGTATGTGTGTGTGTTTGGTGTGAGTGTGAGTGTGCGTGCTTGTGTGTATATTGTTTAATAAAATGAGACTTCATAATTTTAAGTAGTATTATGTCAATAAGGCTATTCCGTCCCGTGTTACTCTATGACACACCATTGCTAGAAGTCTGTGCAGAAAGAGAATCCGATTTAGATTGGAGGGCGCTGTAGTGCTTTTCTACCGTATTTGTATGGTTTTACCCCTTTTAGACATATTTGTTTCTTAGGTTTTCACCCTTTACACCTTTTAGACATGATTAAATACAAAAAACCGCAAGAAATCACAACAACAAACAAATCCGCATCAATACAAAACTTTGACGTTTTACAGATTGCTGGGTTTGATTGCCAAATAAAAATCTTAATGTTAGTTCCGTTTTTCGCCACGCCCATTCTTTTTCCGCACAGACTTCTATCGGATTTTTGTCTCGTTTTGACAAATCCTCTGCCAACTACTAAACATAATAAAATTAATATAATCTATGATTTCGTCAAACCTCCTTTGCGTTTAATATTATCTTCCAATAATAACGCACCCATGCGGGGGAGGCCTAAAAATCACATTAACAAAAATGTCAACAAAATCGTGAAGGTCTAGATAAAACTATCATAAAATTATAAATTTTCAGTGTTCATAAATATGAAACTCGCAGCTTTAATACAAACAGGTACATCAATTAGTTTTAGTAGAAATTAGTTTAGTACTTATTATATTCGTAACCTTAAAAAAATTACACAATTTTCAATTACATTATTAAATTAATAAGTTACTGTGAGCGACAGAGCTAAAGTGATTTGTCAAATTTTTCATGCAAACTTGTTAAGAGTGTAACAGATTTGCAACAACCTCAAATCTTGACGATAAATCTATATACGAGTATATAAAACTCAAAGGTCACTGACTGACATAGTGATCTATCAACGCTCAGCGCAAACCACTGGACGGATCGGGCTGAAATTTGGCATGCAGGTAGATGTTATTGGCTTGGGGAGTTCGGTCGTTTCAGGGACTGCGGCGACTGCGACGCGGGCGGGTGTGCGAGGTTGCATAGAACTTCATATAAAGAATTCGAATGCGAAGAAGACTGCGGTGCGACCAAGTTTTCGTTCACCTTAAGAGGGGAGGTGCGCAGTGTTTTTTCTATACAAAGTTCTCGACTGTTTCCTTGATTTTAATTTTACTAAAGAATTGATTTTCATACATCTATAATAAAACTCAAAGGTGACTGACTGACATAGTGATCTATCAACGCACAGCCCAAACCACTGGACGGATCGGGCTGAAATTTGGCATGCAGGTAGATGTTATGACGTAGGCATCCGCTAAGAAAGGATTTTGATCAATTCTACCCCCAAGGGGATAAAATCGGGAATGAAAGTTTGTATGAAACTTTGTCAATTTTAAACCGATCGGGCTGAGACTTTGCATGCAGGTATAAGAAGAATCATAGATGAATGTCATTGTGTATAATACAAGCCTGAGAACAAAAACTGTAGTCTACACTTCAGCTCTACACCGAAGCGAAGCGAAGGCGGGCCGCTAGTTATTATTAAAGTCGTCCCGTTAAAGATAAGATTGCATAACAGTAAATGTTTTGCTGTTCAAAATCGTCTTAGAGTGTACAAATAGTAATAAGTAAGAATATTACTGAGGAGCTTGATGGCGCAGGTGGTTAGCGCGTTTGGCTGCGATCGTTGAAGCTAAGCAACTTTCGCAGTGGTCGGTCATAGGATGGGTGACCAAAAATCTTTTATGTCGAGTTCCTTCGTGCTTCGGAAGGCACGTTGAACTGTTGGTCCCAGCTGCATCTGCAGTCGTTAGCACCTTAGATTAAAACAAAAAGAGTAGATACGGCACTAGCCTCACAAAAGTGATCCGCACCAATTGTGGTCCACGACCCTAATCGCTTTAGTCACAACTTGACATGCAAACGACATACATGTGAACGCCAAAAAGAAATATTGCTAAGATTTTGTGTTTATATGATAAAACAATGCCTAAGTGTGTTTTTAAAAAGTACTCAAATTGCTCAAGAACTAAAAATAAAACCCACGGTATCACAAAAAAATTGCTGTTTGTTTTGAATCTTATTCGGTAGTGACGTCGAGTACTAGTCGCGTGATTGGTCGGTAGTGCAGTGACGCGGATCTCGCCGTCTCGTTCGCGCTGCCGTTGAAACTTAACGTGCTGTTTCGTTCGGGTCGGTAATGCAGTGACGCGGATCTCGTCGTTTGCATGTCAAGTTGTGACTAAAGCGATTAGGGTCGTGGACCACAATTTATGCGGATCACATTTATGAGGCTAGTGCCGTATCTACCCTTTTTGTTTTAATCTAAGATTTTAATCACCTATCCGGGGACCGACAATCGCGTAACTTCGCTTAACTTCCACAATTGGAGATCATCAATTTAGCGCCTGTGTTGCGTTTGGTGTTATGATTATTGCTTCTTTATTTTCTCTGTAGAGGAAGATGAACCACCGCCCAAAGAAGAGGAGAAGTATGTACCTCCGTACGGAACAATCGAATGGATACAGTACTGGAGTGAAACCGAGGGTCATCTGCCATCTCCCATAAATGTGTCCATCACCAACTCCATCATGTACTCGTGCCCCGATCTCAAATGGTACAACTTTGACGTCTACCCTCACAAAATCAAGATGACCAATACCGGTTACACTGGTAAACTATTAATAAGTGAAAGTTATAACATGGTAATAATATCATACAGTATTCTATCTTCATACAAACGGTCGAAAAGCGAGTCATATCATATCATACCTACGCCACTCGAGTTCGAGGCACTCTCGGCGGGCACCCAGTCGCGAATGCGCCGCCGCGCCGCAATGACGACCGAACGGTGTGAATCGTTTTTTATGCAGTTAGCCGTGCTTAAGCATGCGTTTTGTAATGTAAATATTTGATTGAATTAAGTAGATACCTACATAATTTAGTTTGGAAAAGAACAAACGACGATCAATATCGTACAACAGCACAATTGCTGTTTTTGGTTGCTTGAACTCTTCAATAACACACCCAGAGATATCATTTTTTAAATTACCTGAAATATTAGAAAGGTGTCTTGCCTTTAAAGAATATTTTTTATATACCTATCTACTAGTACGTAATTTTTGTTGTTGTTTCTAATATTTAGGTATTTCGATTTTTCCATCGGGCAAAATATCTGGAATAATATATAAATAAGTGGTTAGGATGAAAAAAGAGACAAACGAGTAATCTACCTACACTCGCGTTAAAAACAAACTACATAAAATACTGTAGGCGGGCGGCCCTACCGCGTGCTAACGCAGCGCTCGGCCGTTTGCATTTATTTCAAGGACAGGGCGGAGTCACAATACTGTATAGATAATATTACCGTGGTTTTAATTTCGATAAAACTTGATTTGTTAGAAGAAGAACTAACTATGTGGGCCGAATAAAATGCTATATCATTTATTGTTTAAGCACACAGAAATAATAAGTTTAACATAAAATTTGTCTATGGACCATTGGAATTCAAATAGCGGATATTCACCCATTTAGGTAGGTACTTACTATTTTTATTTAAGTTCTTTCCCATTGCTCTCCACACATTATCTTTGATCAAATTATTGTGGTAATTTAGATCGGAGGTGTCGTAAAGGGCTGGATGATCGGAAACAAAGTTAATTACCTTCTCTTTATTATCATCCGAAAAAGCTGTCATTTTTTTAAAAACGTGTGACCTCTCTACGGTTCGCAACACCACTGAAACTGCAGTCTGCGGTCGCTGCACGCCGCAGCCACAGTCTGCGCGCCGCGGCTGCAGGCCATAATGTCGCCGCGCTCGGAATCAATTGCATAGAGATTCACAGAAACCAGTAGTGTCGCCTGCAGTCTGCAGCTGCGGCCTGCAGACTGCGGTTCAGTTTGGACTTTAACCTTATACTGACGAAAACAACGGAGGAGGTTCTCTAGTCGATGCGTATATTTTTTTATCTATGGTCACCTAAGATAAAAACAAAAGGGGAATATACGGCACTCGCGGCTCAAAGTAATCCGCTTAAATTATGGTGTATGACCACAATAGGGAAGATGCATATATAATATTTATGAAAATTTTATGATTAAAATGTTAAAAAAATATAAAAGAAATGCCACTGCAACGTTTTTATTTTACATAATGTAGTTTTTTAACAATTATTACGAATTAAAAATACTTGAAACGGAACGTATTTTAAAACACCAATCAGCGTTTAGTGACGTCACTCCTGTAATGACAACTTCTTTGAGGTTATGGTTGTTAAAGTAAATATTATTTTATGGGAATATTTATTGCGTTTTTTTACATTAAATAAAAATGGAAGTTGCGTTTATCAAAGCAGACTCCAGGAATTTACCAAGAGTTAGCGTTGACATGGTTATAACTTTTTTTGTCCAAAGTGCAGAGTGTTTAAGTGTAGAAATGAAAGGGACTATATTACTACGGTATGTAAAAATCGTAGTTTATTCGTATTTTATTCAGCGGCTTCTACAAATCTTACGGCGATAATGCAATCGGCTATGTCCAAATTAAAAGAGATGGAAAATTATGTACAGTAAAAGGTCGAGTTCTCCGGAGCATAAACTACGTAAAGAAGGTTATCGTGTTACAGTTATTTTAAATGAAACGCAAAGCTTGGTTCAGTCCTGCCAATGTGAAGATTGTGCCACACATTTTAAACTTTATCTAATTTTCGACGTCATTCTCCAACTGTAAAATTAAAAATATGTTATAGACAGGTTTTGTAAGTATTAGGTAGGTTACTAATGCGTTTTTACGTACAAGCAGATTAATTAAGTATATAACAAGTATATTCGCCAGTATTATATATACATTACAAGTATATTTGGGAACTTTGTTGAAGTAGATTGGCACAAAACATGAGTCAACACGGCCTTTTTTCGGAATATTAGTGGTAATGTTATGATCACATGATGTTGATGGATAGTCCATTTTAAATTTTTCAAAAAAATATTTCGAAAGTCGAAAAAATATGCAAAAGTATGAAAATTTAAACCCAGCAACGAACAATTACGACCAGTGACAGACAGGAGTGACGTCATCGCAACCATAGGTTCGTTTTCGCGCGAAAATTTAAATTGTCAATTTAAAACCGCATTTTTTCCGATAAATCACAATGTTTTAATTTTTTAATATATCTGTGGTTTATTCTACATGGAATTCTTTAAAATGAAAACAAAAATAAAAATATTGCATCTTCCCTATTCGTTTTAGTCACAATTGGACATTCAAACACGCTGCATGTACACTCAATATAACAATATTGCGTATATTCTGTGTTATGAAGATAAAACAATGCCTTCGTTGCTTTTATAAAGAACACAAATAGTTCAAGATCAAATAATAAATTCCACAGCAACACTTTTCATTCGTAAAACAATGAAAATATGTTTTTTTCTCTAAAATCACGGTATGTCATGAATGTTAACTTTTTGCTATTGATTATCAAGAAAAGGACAACAATATAGCTCAGACGTTTGTAGAGAGAGAAAAGAAAACGCACTCGCTAAGCCAAGCGACGCAATATCTTCCCTTTTTGTTTTAATCTAAGATGATCAAGAAAAGGACAACAATATAGCTCAGACGTTTGAAGAGAGAGAAAAGAAAACGCACTCGCCAAGCCAAGCGGCGCGATATCTTCCCTTTTGTTTTAATCTAAGATGATCAAGAAAAGGACAACAATATAGCTCAGACGTTTGTAGAGAGAGAAAAGAAAACGCACTCGCCAAGCCAAGCGACGCGATATCTTCCCTTTTTGTTTTAATCTAAGATGATCAAGAAAAGGACAACAATATAGCTCAGACGTTTGAAGGAGAGAAAAGAAAACGGACTCGCCATGCCAAGCGACGCGATATCTTCCCTTCTTGTTTTAATCTAAGATGATCAAGAAAAGGACAACAATACTGCTCAGACGTTTGTAGAGAGAGAAAAGAAAACGCACTCGCTAAGCCAAGCGACGCAATATCTTCCCTTTTTATTTTAATCTAAGATGATCAAGAAAAGGACAACAATATAGCTCAGACGTTTGAAGAGAGAGAAAAGAAAACGCACTCGCCAAGCCGAACGACGCGATATCTTCCCTTTTTGTTTTAATCTAAGATGATCAAGAAAAGGACAACAATATAGCTCAGACGTTTGAAGAGAGAGAAAAGAAAACGCACTCGCCAAGCCAAGCGACGCGATATCTTCCCTTTTGTTTTAATCTAAGATGATCAAGAAAAGGACAACAATATAGCTCAGACGTTTGAAGAGAGAGAAAAGAAAACGCACTCGCCAAGCCAAGCGACGCGATATCTTCCCTTTTTGTTTTAATCTAAGATGATCAAGAAAAGGACAACAATATAGCTCAGACGTTTGAAGGAGAGAAAAGAAAACGGACTCGCCATGCCAAGCGACGCGATATCTTCCCTTCTTGTTTTAATCTAAGATGATCAAGAAAAGGACAACAATACTGCTCAGACGTTTGAAGAGAGAGAAAAGAAAACGCACTCGCCAAGCCAAGCGACGCGATATCTTCCCTTTTTGTTTTAATCTAAGATGATCAAGAAAAGGACAACAATATAGCTCAGACGTTTGTAGAGAGAGAAAAGAAAACGCACTCGCCAAGCCAAGCGACGCGATATCTTCCCTTTTTGTTTTAATCTAAGATGATCAAGAAAAGGACAACAATATAGCTCAGACGTTTGAAAGAGAGAAAAGAAAACGGACTCGCCATGCCAAGCGACGCGATATCTTCCCTTCTTGTTTTAATCTAAGATGATCAAGAAAAGGACAACAATATAGCTCAGACGTTTGTAGAGAGAGAAAAGAAAACGCACTCGCTAAGCCAAGCGACGCAATATCTTCCCTTTTTGTTTCAATCTAAGATGATCAAGAAAAGGACAACAATATAGCTCAGACGTTTGTAGAGAGAGAACAGAAAACGCACTCGCCAAGCCAAGTGACGCGAGCGATATCTTCCCTTATTGTTTTAATATAAGATGACCACGCATAACCTTTTACAGAGTAGTACGATTTAGATCATTCTTTTTTATTGATAAGTATATACTCTGAAGTTGGTCCCATATGAATTTGGAAAAATGGGGATTTTCGTTGTCTCATAGATTTTGACGCCGCGTTGAATATTACAAATATTTTAGCCACAAAAAATTATAAAATAAAAAACTCAGTCAGCAGGTATGATAGATCTGAGTTTCTATTCACTGCTTGGGTTGGCTCGGCACTGGCATCGACTCCAAATATTGATTTGACTAAAGATAAAAAAGGTTTATTATTTTTTACTTTTGGGCCATATTTTTTTTTGTTAAAAAGTTTTTTTTACATGCGTGTGCAAACATAACTTACTGGCTGGCACCATTGCTAATAGGCGCTGGATCTTTGTGAAATAAGCCAAAAGAATAAGACGATCTCCATGGCCGAGTGGTTTGTACGCCGGGTTTCATGGCATCGCCGACTCAAGAGGGTTCGAATCCCGGTGGGGGCAGATGTTTGTGTGATGAACATGAGCGTTTGTACTCCAGTCATGGATGTTAAATATGTATTTCTATATAAATATACTTATATATGTAAAGTATATGTATTCTATCCGTTTTTTTTTTTATACCACTAAGGTAGCAAACAAGCATGCGGCCCGCCTGAT